TATATATGAAAAATATATCAAAATGCATTTTATTATTTATCTTTGAGTATTAATATTAAAAAATAATAATTAAAATTTAATATTTAAATCATTTCTTCGAAGAATAATCACAAAAAAATGTATTAAAATTTTCAAAGAAAATTTATTCAGAAGAATTTTGATTTTTTTTAATTATAAAAAATCAAAATAGTAAATTTTAACATTTTTACTGATGTAATTCAAAATTTTTAATGATATAAGCAGACCTCGACATTACACTCATCGAGACCTTTCATTTGAGTACCCACATCAATTTTTCATATATTTATATATATTACATATATGAATATATGAAAAATATATAAAAATGCATGTGGGTACTCAAATGAAAGGTCTCGATGAGCATAACATCAGGATGAGCTTATATCTTTAAAAATGTCAATAGTTAAGATAGTACAGTGCAATTAATCATAATTGAGAAACGAGCTTGTATCTTGTGAAAAATATGTATATATGAAAAATATATCAAAAATGCATGTGAGTACTCAAATGAAAGGTCTCAATAAACGTAACATCAGGATGAGCTTATACCATTAAAAATGTCAATATTTAAGAAAGTACAGTGCAATTTCATAATTAAGAAATCATCTTGTATCTTGTGAACGATTGACATTTTTAAAGATTTAAGCTCATCTTGACATTACACTCATCGAAACCTTTCATTTGAGTACCCACATTAATTTTTCATATATTTCATATATTTATATAAATCATATATATGTATATATGAAAAATATACCAAAGATGCATGTGGGTACTCAAATGAAATCTCTTGATGAATGTATCATCATGATGAGCTTATATCTTTAAAAACGTCAATATTTAAAAAAGTACAGTGCAATTTAACAAAAGTCTATTTAATAAACCAAAATTTTATTTATATTACACAAGTCACCTAATAACTCCAAAGTCGCTTATTATCATTACTAAATTATAAAAAAAAAATTAACATATTTAACAAGCTAAAATTAAATATTCCAATAATACCAACTAATCATATTAAATTCCAGCTATTCACATGTGGAGCTCCAAACGTCTTAGCTTCCTGCGTAGAGAACGTCTGGGTCCCATGGAGATCTCGCCGAGACAAACCTCACCTCACCGAAGCCCTATGGCTCTTTTGCGGTGCCCATGGAATGCGAGTCTGGCTGCCTTTATTCCCCCGCAACCACCAAGACAACGCGCATACATTTATGAGCAAGAGAATAATGCTGCCCTTTCAATTAAAAATCTACCCCCTGGCAATCCTCTTCGAGGACGCAATAATCCTCGGCGCCGAAAACGACACAGTTCTATACACCTCAGACAGCAACTCGCCTTTCTCATTGCCTTTTAGCCTACTCGAACTAACCAGCCAAGTGTATCTCCACCAAATCCTTCGCCAGTTAATCCACCGCAACCTGGGTTACCACGCCTGGGAAATAGCCCGCTCTTGCGTAGCACTGCCCTATTTTTCCCACTCATTAGAACTATTACTCCACGAAGTCCTCGAAGAAGAAGCCACCAGCAAAGAGCCATTACCCGACGCTCAATTACCAAGTGTTGTAGAATTTATCCGTGAATTTCCCGGAGTCTGGGCCCGAGCTGTAGTCCAGTGTGCTCGCAAAACCGAAATTGCATTATGGCCATATTTATTTTCAATTGCCGGATCACCAAAAAAACTCCTACAAGATTGTCTACAGCGCCAACAATTAGACACTGCGGCAAGTTATTTAATTATTTTACAAAATTTAGAGCCTTCGTCTGTCAGCAGACAACACGCGACTTTATTATTAGACGCGGCATTGGAACAAGGAAGATGGGAATTATCGCGTGACTTGGTACGATTTCTTCGAGCAATTGATCCAAATGATGTAGAGTCACCTCGAAATTCTTGGGGCGGTTCTGGTAAATTATCCGGTCCGCCTCCAACTCCATCAGTCTCTCCTCATGAAGAAGATCTTTCTTTAGTTCTAGGAACTATGCAAGTCTCAAGAAGCCGCAGTTACAGTACAACAATTACTCCTAAAGTTCAATTTGATTCTAATAAAGATCCGCCTTCTTCAATGTTAGAAAAAACTAGGAATGCTGTAATGCGACGGAAAAAATCTGTCCCAAGTTTTAAGCCTGAAAAAAATAACAATAATATTAATAACAATAATAGTAATAATAATCAAGAAACAGCAGAAGAATTTTTTATTGATGTTATTTTACAAAGACATGCTAGAAGATTGCTTTCAGCTAGAAGACTTGCAGATTTAGGACACTTTGCAGCGCGTTTAGATTTTTATTTGGTCAGTTGGTTGGCCAGAGAACGAGAACGTGCTGCTAAAATTGACGATTTTATAATTGCACTTAAAGCTGCGCATGAAGATTTTTCTTTTCCGTACCCGACTTTGTCTTTAACTAATTTAGAAAAATTAAGACGGCCTAGTCATGCTATGTCTACTAGGTCTAGGTCTGTTGAATATTCGGAGAATGAAACCCAAACTACTACGACTTTTACTAATAATATAAATAATAATAATAATAATAATAATAATAATAATAATAATAATAATAATAATAATGGGGATTTACCAGCAGACAGTGGGTATACTAGTTTGTCTAGTACGAGGCCTGGAGGAATTTATGGATTAGTGTCACCTGTAGCGAGTCTTGAAACGCAGTTTCCGATTGTGGAGACGAAGTTGACTCCGAGGATTCATCAGGACGCGGGGAGTGTGCTGAGTGATACCAGCACGATTTGGAGAGACGATGTGGAATCTGTTGTGGGAACTTGTTGGGTCTCCAGTGATGCTATTGAGCCAGTTGATAATAATTTGAGCTCAATTTGTGGACCGACTAGTCGGGCTCAGGTGCAAGTTAGGTATCTGCTGCAATTGTTCTTGGAGGCTGGGTGTATTGGATGGGCAGCGGTGCTGAGTACGATGTTGAGAGATGCTTCGGCTATGGCGAGGACGATAAGAGCGGCTCATGCTCCTATGCAGACTTTGGAGTCGATTGTTAATTTGAGGGATGGGATTCTTACGCTTGCGAAGTGGTCGCAGTCTGAGTGGTGAGTTTTGGATTGTTTTTATTGATGGACAATTTATTATATTTAGGCGCATTTGAAAGTTTTCTAGATATGTAATTGAGAAATTAGCTTGTATCTTGGGGAAATATTGAGATTTTTAAAGGTATAAGCTCATCTTGATGTTAAGCTCTTCGAGAGCTTTCATTTGAGTACCCACATCAATTTTTTATATATTTTATATATTTATATATATATATATATATATAAATATTTTAAATTTTAAAAATAGGAATTCCTCTGTTTTTTTTCATAATAGTTCGTCATAAAAATCCAAATATTGTTAGCTATCAACTTCAATTTCATATTATTCTTAAATTACGTAAAACTTATTAATTATTGTCATTAACAATCAGTATTGTCATATTTTCTCTGTACTTATACTTCTTTTTTTAAAACTTAAAATTAACGCGACTTGTCTAAATTAGAAGCTAATGCTTATTTTCAAAAATAAAAAATTTGAGCAACCTAAAAATTAAACTAACATTAAGTACATAATGATTCTTGAGTTTTTGCATCAGCCACATCATCTTTGACTTGGTACTTTTTCAAATTAGCTTCACTTGACTCTTCTCCGCAATTATTCCTGTTCCTACTACGAATGCGCCGTGCAATGCATGGAAAAAATAAATCAGGATCAAGATTTTTCTTGACCCGGTCCAGTCCCAAAGATTGCAACAAATTGCTGGTGATCCAACCGACTACGATGGTCATAACGACACCTATTGGCGCGTACCATAAGTAAGAAATACGGTAGAGGTAAAAGAACTCTTTTTTTGGAACAGAATTATTTTGAAAATTCAACGTTCCGTTGAATTTTGCGAGTAAATCACTATTACAGCCTTCAACAGACATCGGCAAAGCCTGGGGGAATGGTCTTGGACCTCCGAATGAAATCCATATCAAAAATATCAATGACAATGTTGTTCCGAAAATAGCGCCGCGCTGCGTTGATGACTCAAACAACATACCAAGGGTGAACAAACCTACTAAAGGACCTCCAACGACTCCAAAAATTGTTAAACTCATCTGAAATAATTGTAAAATGTCATTTTATTTTACATTGAGAGAACAAATTTATTTTTGAAAAAATGAAAAATTTTGGAATAAGAAAATTAAATTTAATAAATCAGAAATGACATTGGATTTTCTTAGCTATTGATATTTCTGAAGATATAAGCTCATTTTGATGTTACACTTATCGAGACCTTTCATATGAGTACCCACATGACTTTTTTATATATTTATATATATATGGGATATTTGTAAAATATATAAATTTATGAAAATTTATGTGGGTACTCAAATAAAAGGTCTCGGTGAGTGTAACTTCGTGAACTACTGACATTTTTAAAGATATAAGCTCACCCTAAAATTACACTCATCGAGACCTTTCATTCGAGTACCCACATCAATTTTTCATATATTTATATATATTATATATATGTATGTATGAAAAATATATCAAAAACCCATGTGGGAACTCAAATGAAAGCTTTTGGTAAGCGTAACATCAGGATGAGCTTATATCCTTAAAAACGTCAATATTTAACAAAGTACAGTGCAATTGAACAAAAAATGAGCCAAAATTTTCTTATTAATCTAAAATATTTCTTATTTTTATTTTTAGTCTTGGCTACAGATCATTTGTCTCAGGAATTCAAAGCCAGACGTCATTACTCAATCGTTTGATCGTCGTAAAGCAGCAACAGCAGCAACAATTGATCCAACAACAAGAACAGCAGCAACAGCAATTGATCCAAGAGCAGCAACAGAAGCAGCAGCAAGAACAGCACGTGCGGCATCAAACTGAGCATGAGATTATTGAGAGTCCATCATCAAGTCCCGCTCCGTCATTCGGGAGCAATCAGCGTGGTAATATTTCACGCTCAAGACACTCATCAGTGAGTCAAGCTTCCTTAACTGTTGCCTCCACAGTTACTGCTGCTACACCAAATACTACCAAGGAAGAAATTAAAATTGATGAACTATTCCCTGGTACCGGCATCGGCAAAGAGGCTATTCATAATGGCAGTAATGAAAAGTATGATGATTCTCAGCAACAGTCTAATTGTGTAATCTCGTAAAATATTTTTTTTTTTAAATTCAATTACTTTATTTTTTTTTATTGGACCACAATAATCAGTACCTTATCATTGCTCAATAAATTAAATAAATAAAATTAAATAGTGCAAGTTTTAGCGGCTAACGTGTATGTTGACAGACAATCAAACAATAATAATAATTATTATTATTATTATTATTATGGATTAGCGTCCCTGACTTTGTATTATAGCAATAACGCAAGATGCATGACTCTAATAAGTAATGTCGATGTTCTTGCGAATTAAAAAGTGACATTTAGTTTTAATATTTCCGTATTGGTCAGAGGCATTATATTATTTTTTATATTAATTACAATTTTTTTTTTTTTTTAATTAATTAAAAATAAATTTAACAGGGTTCAGTAGAATTTATATATAATATATAAATAATAAAATTTTTTTGTAAGTGTTATGTAAAATTAAAGGCAATGTTAAACGATTGATATTGATTACTTGAAGGGGCAAAATTGTGTATATATTTAGACGTCATGTAATAATCGGCTGTCAATATTTAAATTGCTCACTCACTAGTTTTACCAAATGATAAAATAATAAGTAGAAATAATTTATATGTCTTATATTTGTAATAAATAAATTAATTTTAGGAAAAAAAAAGGAAGAGATAAAAAATATATTATATACTTAAATATATTAACTAATGAATTATAAAATATATTTAATGATATTTTCACACAATTTAATCTCAAAAAGTCATTTTCCTTTTGGTATAAATTTTTTTATACCTTTTAATTTCTTTTTTTTTTTTAATATTTAAGATTTATAATTATAATTAGAAAAATATAATTACTGTAATATCGTATAATATATAACACAGATATTTTTAAGAATTGAGCATTGTAAAAAATATTAAGTTTTCTACAAATAGCAAAAAATATATCGAGATATATATTTTTGATAATTATTTTCTGTCGATCAACGGCAGTGAAATTAGGAGAAAATTTGGTAATTATTTACAAGTGGGGTCTACCTCATTTTGTGAAAAATTAACATTTTTTTTTATTTTTCAAGATAAAAAATGTAAAAGAAAAAAATAAAAATTTTGATAGCTTTTTTGCCTTCAAAAGTTGGAAAAAATTTTGGCTCATGTTTTTGGATAAAATTTCTATTTTATCTTTTTTTGATATTTTTTTTATAAGTACATAAAAAAAACGAACAATGTAAAAAAAAGTTTAATATAATTTTCTAAAAAATTTATAAATTTTTTAGAAAATTTATTAAAATTGTGATAAGGTAAAAGACCCAGTTATTGACACTTGCAATTTTATTTTAATTAAAAAAAA